GTTTGAATGGAAGCGAGATAAATTTGGAATGTAATAGAAAAACCAAAACCAAAATGCAAAAAAATCAAACATAATTTTTATGATTCTTCATTTGGTTTATCAATGTATATCTATTGGTATGTCTAACTAATTAAGAAAAAAAACGAATAAAAGAGAAATGTCTGTGTGTGTGTGTGTGTGTGTATTCTCTACATAATCAAAACAACAACAACAACAAAAAACAATGGTAAATGGAGAAAAAAAATATGTGATTGTATTCCCATTGTGTATGATCATTATAATTTTTAGCGGCAATTCAAATGAGCAACTTAAATATATTCTATATATTCTTATATTATATTATTCTTATAAATACATTCAATTTGCAAAGTTAATAGAAAAAGAATCTGAATATAAATTAATTTCAATGAATCACAGAGAAACGAAAAAAAAAACGCAATTCAAACCTCTTCTATAAGAACATTGTGTTCAAGCATAACGAAAATCGGACAAAGCATTTTTTCGTTTGTTTTTTTTTCCTAAAAGAATAAAATTCATACTCACGCATATCAACACAACAGTATAGTATATATTATTTTTAAATTGTATCCAGTTCAGAATATTGAATTGGAATTATAATAAAATTCATACTCAAGGTGTGTGTGTGTGTGTGTGTGTTTGTGCATATATATCTTTTTTGTTGTTGTTATTTTTTTTCTCATCTAAAGTTCAATTCAAATGTAATTCTTTGAACCAGGGTGGAAAAAAATTTTTTTCGTTTCTTAATTCATTCAAAAAAAACAAATTCTAACTCGATATCTTTTTGTTCGTTTTTTTTCTAGTTTGAATTTTTTCTTTAATTTCAAAATGGAATAATACCCAAAGCCATCATTTTGATTGGCATATAATTGTTAATCGTCATCATCATCATCATCATCATCATCATCTATCTACTATACTATGACGCTAAGGATGTGTGTAAACTGCGGCGAAGCTGAGCCGGCCATTCCTGCTTATTTTCAGTACAAACCTAACTATTTGGTATGAGCTACTCAGTGTGTGTTGTGTGTGTGTGTCTGAGCATGCGGGAAAACTTTTGAATGCCGCTGAACAGTTCGTCCAGCTCAGAAGTAGAAGTCGCTTCCAAAGAAACGCATTCTGTGGTATGTAGCTTTGACAAAGCTTTTTTTCATTGTTCTAGCTCAGCACACGTTGCTGCAGCTTTTGCATCCAATAGATGGTGCAGTCATTCAATAGAACATAGAAAGAGTTCGAATTCGAATTTTTCGAATTGATTATTGTGATAATACATGTGACACACGTGATTTTCATTTTGTGTGCCTGTGTGAGTGAGTATTTGATGATGAAATCATCATTTTTTATGATTTGGATTCAGAATACGAAAGTATTCTGGATTGGTGATCTGTGATTCGAGATGATTCAGCTCGAAGTGTACCGTTGCCCAATTTAAGAAGCCATTCATTGTATTCAGCAAAATTGGCTGATCTCATATTGACAGGAACGCACAAAAAACACGGAGGCTCTGATTCCTCGGATCATTTTCCAACAAAACGATCAAGATCCTGAGCTGCCATTCAAATTGGTGCGTAGACAATTTCCTGTGGTGTTGGCTTTTGCTCTGACAATTAATAAGTCTCAAGGGCAATCTTTCGAAAAAGTAGGTGTATACCTTCCTACACCAGTATTCCAACATGGAATGATGTATGTGGCTCTTTCCCGATGCAAAAATCCAAATAATCTTAAGATTTTTGTTGAGGAAATTGAGGAAAAGCAAGGTGCTATTTTGCTGAAGGTCAACAACGATCGCAGCATCTACACCAAAAATATCGTATTCCGCCAACTTATCGATATCGATGAACAATAATAAGTATGCTGTTTGATCGATAAGTTGATGTTGGATTTACGTAACATTTTCAAAGGTGTCAGGTACAATACAAAAGTCATGGCTGACCCTGCGGTACCAAACCGAAAGCCGGAAGCAAAACGCCGTGCATAGAAATCCACCATCAGGCACGAAGCGTTAAAATTGACACCTTTGGCTGGATGCCAAGCAGGGGGGGCGGCGCAGCCGCCACACCTGCGGGTATCCAGCTATATTGACCGTCAAGGATTGATACCTTTGACTGGATACCAAGCAGGGGGGCGGCGCAGCCGCCACCCCTGCGGGTATCCAGTTATATTGACCGTCAAGGAGTCAGCCCCGCAGGGCCAGACCAGGACAGGCGCGAAGCGCCTGTTCTCGGGCTGGTCATTTATAATGCACATGATAAATGATAGCAGTAATAACGGTAGTAGTAGTAGTGTTGGTGGTGGTGGTTGTAGTAGTAGTTATAGTAATAGCTAGTGATAATCGTTAACACAACTATATGCGCTATAATTGTGTAATCAATTGTTTTTTTTATATAAATTATCAAAAACAATAATATGATGAAAAACGGATGAAAAACAAAACAAAACAAAAACGTAAAAAGATTATTATTATTAACACAGATATTCCATTTCTGATACATCCAATATAACAACAAAGAATAATAATTACATCTGCAGAAAAAAAAGATAGATAGATAGATAGATAAAAAGACAGAGAGAATCAGTGAATTCTTTATTCTGTTTTGCTTACTCAAAAACAAAAACGAAAAAAAAATTCCAAGAAAATTGCTAACTTGTTTATAAGAAGATTATCAATCAAAAGAAATAGGGATTTCAAAGAAAATGTAAAAAATATATAGAATTTTTTCCGCACCAATGTTGATGAGAATTGATTTCCCTCTCCCACTATCTCCTTCTCCTTCTTCTTTACGTTTTTTTTACAGTCTTGTTTCATTTTCCCATTAGTTGTCCCTCAAAAAAAAAAATCAAATCAAAACGAAAAAAATCCTGGAGAGCCGTTGAACTAATTAATTTTTCACGGAAATTATCTTTTTTCCCTGAATTTTTTATTTCACGCATATTTTTTCAAATGTTTCAAATCTATCTATCTCTCTCTCTCTCTCTAGTTTGCACTCTGTCCAATTTGTCAGTATCTCTAGACAAAATTTTAAAACTTTCGTTCCAATGACATTTAAAACAAAAAAAAATTCATTGGCTGACTCTTTTTTTCTAATGGAGCTGATCTGAATAATTATTATGATGCTGATGATTATTAATGCGAAAAAAAGAGGGAAGAGAAAAAAAATTTGTATTAAATTAAAAATTTGCCAAAGTCAATTTAGAGTACGCTCATCATCATTATCATCCATAATGTGAATGATGATGATGATGATGATGATTGTTAAACGTCAGACGAAAGACAAAAATTTTTTTTTATTTTTTGACTTTTTCATTTCTTTTGATCCATTTAAAAATGACAAATTAATCCTGACAAACCATCATCATCATCATCATCATCATCATCTATATACGTCAATTGTCCATCTCATTGATTGTTATAACAAAAACAATGACAAAATGAAATCGATTATTTGAAAAAAAACACTACTTAATGAAAATTGATAATGGCAGGTAAATACTTGAATTTGAATATTCATTCATTTATCAATCAAAATTAATGGCTTGATAAACCTGTCATCATCATTACAATATAATCATTAACAAAATTGTCCTATTGTCAATGGAATCAAATTATCCAATTGATAACGAATTAATCTAAAAAAAAATGCGAATGATCAGGTTGTATGTATATATATAATAATGATGATTTCAGATGGTCGACCATTTTTGCCAGAATGATTCGGTATATATAAAATGTTTTCACATCAACAACATCCAATACATTTATATTGAATGGTTTGATTAATTTGATATTAAATTGAAAATTAATCAGTAATAAAAATCAACGAAAAAGAAAAACTTTAACGATTTCTACACAAAAAAAATCATTCAACAATGATTATGATGGTGATGATAATCATTAATGAATGAAACAAAATAGTAAAATCTTTAAAGCCTTGAAGCAACATTATGCGAATATAAGAAACAAAAAAAAAACTTTGGACTCTAAATTCAAAATTATCATCGATTATTATCATTGTTTTTGTTGTTGTTTTTTTTGGTGGTTAGTCGTTTGTTGTTGAAAAGCAACTGGCAACGATTTTTTATCTTTATCTTTATTTTTTTTTACACAAAGCAATCATAAAGACAAAATGGACAAACATTTCGTACTGTATGTCAAATAAAATGTGATCTGATTCAATCAAATTTAAACTGAAACAAAAAAAAAATAATAATCACGTGGTTTTAATGTCTGTATATATATTATAACACACCAGGTATAATCAATAATGAACATGTAATTGTCAAAGAATGTTTTTTTTTTTTGTCTAAATGATTAAAATTGAATCAATGAATGAATGTTAATAAATCCAAAAAAAAAACATTAAACGGTAATGACAGTGTGTGTGTGTTAAACAATGCAAATTAAATAATCATCATCATTATCATGCAATAAAAAAGAAGAAAAAAAAATCATTTAAGAAGTAATTCACTTCAAATGAGATTTTGATGACCATTTTTGCATAATAATTATGTTTACAAATCATCATCATCATTTATTTATTTATTTATCTATTCAAATCTCGGACATTGCGAGCATATTATAGCATAGCATTTAATCTTGTAATTGAAAAGTTCACCAGACGAGTTAGCAGCAATAACATTGATATATATATATTCTGTATGGATGATTTTCATCACCATTTTTATTTTTCTTTTTTTTCTGTATTCAACTATATTCAATGAATTTTATGCTTGTTTTTCGTATAGGAATAAATGAATGAATGAATGAATGAATAAAATGTGTTAATGAAATTGAATATTAATAACGAATTGTCACCAGTAATTTATTTGATTGATTGATGTAAAAAAAAATAAGAGATAAAAAATCTGCTTACAGGCATGCAACATACACACACACACATAACCAAACAAATCAGGAAAAAGGAAACGGATCCGGAAAATGACGGAAAAAATGATAAAATAAATTTTTTTTTTATGACACCTACCTTCCAACCAGCTGATGAATTATTATCGCCTTTATCTTTAAAATATGTCACATTCTGTACCATCCATTCATATATCTGTGATAATGTTAGACGTTTATCCGGTGAGCCATCGATTGCACGAGCAATTAATTCAGCATATGATGAATTACCCCATGCATTACGTCTGGATGTATTCTTTTTTGTTGTTGCCGATGATGATGTACCGGATTCTGAACCAGAACGATGAAGATATGGTGTTTGTCCATTAGATAATTGTGAATCACTTGCACAACTACCAAGTGATCCATGCACTTTTAGACTAGAATATTTTCCCGTTGTTGTATTATCATTATTATTATCAGCCGGTGTCGTATAATATAATTGTTGTTTCTCTGTTTTATCATTCAAATTATTCTGATTATTATTATTATTATTATTATTATTATTATTAGATGTTGTCATTGATGTAGATGCAGAGGTAGATAATGATGTCGATGAATGATTTTGGACAGTTTTATTATCATTTATCGACGTTGTTGTTGATGATGTTGTTGTTGGTGATGATGATGATTTCGATTGAAATGAATTAGACGGATAAATATGTTGATGTGAATGTTGTTGTTGCTGTGGCTGCTGAAATTGATGTGAAGAAAGAATCTGTATTGGATTGATTAATCCTGAACGTCCATTCGGATCGTTATGATCATTAACCGGATCATCAAACATATACATTGAAGTATCGACATTATTTTGCAACAAATAAGGTGATTGTGTTTGTTGCTGTTGTTGTAGTGGTGATTGCTGATGATGTTGCTGTTGATTCGATGTTGATAATGATGTTGGATCAACATCGGTTAAATCTAATGAAGTTAGTACAGATGGATTGATAGCATTTGAGGTAATACCATCACAGCCAATACCCATGACCATATCAGAGAAATCACCATCACCATGTAATTGATCATCACCAAATTCATCTTGTTGTTGTTGTTGAAAACTTAATGATTGTGGCCATGTATATGCACGTGAACGAAATTGTGAATTTTGATTCATACTGGATAGATCGGTAATTGGATCATTATCCAAATTATGAAGAATATTTGATTGATTCATTGTTGCCGTAGTTGTATGAAACGGTGATAAAATATGTATGGTATTCGACTGCTCAAGTGAATCACATTCATTCAAATCATTTGTTGCCGCTGCCGTTGTTGCTGTATTTGATGATGATGATGTTGATGATACTATTGTTCCATTTGTAGGCGTTTCTATCAATGCAGTTGCAGCAGATGTTTGTTGTGAATGTTGTTTTATCGTTGTTGATGTTGTTGTTAATGATGATGATGATGATGATAAATGTGGACCAATCGTAAGAGTAGATGATAAAGAATTAACACGTGGAGGTGGTGGTGATGGTGTTGAAGAGTATGCAGAACCAGAGAAGTTATAATCTTCTTCGTTCGTATCCTCCATTTCAATGATAGGCTCCATTCCATTACCATTACCAAAACCGATGAAACAATGAAATTGTTTCGTTGGCAATGGCGGTGATGGTAGCTGAAGATTGATTGATTGAATCGTGATGAAAATCTTTTTTCTTTCTGTTCATAGAATGTTCTTTATTTTCTAGAGAATTTAAGATTACGGAAAAAAAAACACACACACAAGTCTGCTTTTCTTCGAATTGTATGTTGAACAAAACAAATAATAATGACTGATGAGAACGAATGATCAATGATACAAATTCGTTTTGCTATCTATATGATGATGATGATGATGATGATGATAAAGAAAGAAAATCAAAAAAAAAAAGAAAGAAAAATTAGTCAGAATATAATTTTATAACACAAAAGAATATTCTTTTAATAAAAGTTTTAATGATCATCATGTATGATGGAAAAAAGAACATTCACAAACAATGTGATTAAGAAACGTTCATTATTATATAAAATGATGATTGACAGATCATTGTATTTAGCCAATAAAATCATACATAATCCAATATAATTCAAATAAGAACACATTCAATGAAACACACACAAAAAAAATGATAACAGAGAAAAAACAAATTATATTTATAGCCACACACACACACAAAAAAATAAATAAATGGAATTTGATAAAACGAAAAAAAAAACACAATCCGAAGATCACAAACACACACACACACAGTGAAAAAAAAAATCTTACAAATGGAAAGCCAAAAACAAAACAGGATGATGATCAAAATATGAGAAAAAAAATAGAAAAATTTTTTTTTTGTTGTTGTTGTTTTGTTGTTTCATTACAAAAACAATATGGAGTCGACAAATTAGAAATTCATCGAAATAATCATCATCATTATTATAAAGAAAAAAAATTTTTTTTTTTAACACAAGTTTGATAACAAGTTAGTATGTAAGATATATATATTGGTTTGATAATGATAATATATCATTTGATGATTGGATATACCAAAAAAAAAAAAAAAAAAATATTGTCATATCAAACTAAACACCCATATATACATAGAAATTGAGTTAGTTAGTGACTGAGTAAGTGAGTTATAAAGAGAAAAAGAAACACATTTGCACATTTTTTTCTATTATGATCATTATCATCATCATTGAATCAACAATTTATCAATTGTTGATACCCCTCCCTACCAAACACACACACACACACACACACACATATCGATATTTATGTAATCTGTAGCTATATATTTTGATGATAATATTAATGTTCCATATTGATACTTTTGTGTGTTTACTATCAAACAAACAAAAAAATAATGATGAAAACCAAAAAGAAAAATTTCTTTCTTTTTTTTTTGCTGGAACTCAATCAATCAGTCAGTGAGTCAGTGAGTCATTGAGTCGGTGAATAAGTTGCTATTGGATACAAATTAGTTTTTTTTCGATTTCTTTTTTTTTTGAATTCTGCTTTCCATATCGAATGGGTAAAAATCATCAGATGAGCATATACGCAGTATACAACCAAAAAAAAAAACTTTGATACAGTTAAAACAAAATGAACAAGTGGTTAGAGATCATTTGGATCATCATTTGGGTCATATATTTTTCAATGAAATTGAATCTCATTTCAAGGTTTCAATGTGTGCAAATGTAAACCGAAATTAATAAATTACTATGGAAACGTAGAAATTCTTGAAACATTTTTTTCAGTAGAATAATAAAAAAAAATGAAAATTTCGTAGTTAATTTCTTTGATAAATTTTTGTTTTGGAAAACTGTATATGGATAGATCTAAACACACACACACACACACACACACACGAAAAACCGCAAACAAACCATGATAGAAGGGAGATATCGAAATTATTATCATCATTAACATCATTATCATCATCATAATCATCATTATCATCAGCAGCAGCAGCAGCAAAAAAAAAAAGAAATAATTTGAGAGAAAGAAAAATAAAAACAAAGATAATGATGATAAAGATAAAAATAAGAGAAAGTGAAAAAGATAATTCAAGGCCATATGATAAAGTGAATGAAAGTTTGATTGAATGAAAATTTGAAAAGAAGGAAAAAAAATGAAAGAAATCATCTTCAAAAATGATCATCATAATCATCATCATTATTATTATTATTAACATCATCATCATAGATGATGGCAAAGGATTGAATTCAAATCGATTGATCAATCAATCGATCTTACATTGGATTTTGTGTACGAAACAGAAAGATTGTTGTTGTTGTTGTTGTTGTTGTCGTGGAATTGCATGTTCAATAAATTTTTTTTTTGTTGTTCAATCATATTACCACCTTTAATTTAATGTATGTGTATAGAAAAAAAAATTCAACAACAAAATAAAGAAAATTTTCGAATCTTTTCTAAAGTATCAAAAAAAAAAAAAAAAATCTGTAATGCAACAACTTTTTTTTATTATTATTATCAAACAAGTCGTGTGACAAACATAAAATCAAGAAAGAAAATCATCATCATCATCTTCAAAATATTTTTCCCCCCTCCGAAAAAAATCTATCCATTTCATTTTTATCATTTATTTAACACATGTTCACTCTTTTATATACAAAACAAATCAATGTTTTTTGTATTTGGAAAAAAAGTAAACGTCATAATCAGAGTATATATGTGAAAGACACACACACACACACAGAGAGATTGAATAAAAAAAGGATATAGCAAAAAAAACCACCACCAATCTTTGATTCGAAAGCAAAATTATTCTCATTTTTTTTCATACATGTAAAGTTTCATGATTTTCCACAACAACAACAACAACAAAAAATTTCGACGCAAAAAAAATGATGATGATGATTATGATGAAGAAATTGAAACGTTGCACATATAGCAGCAGCAGCAGCAGATAATAATATCAATCAATATTATATTAATATAATTTAAATATGAAAATGTATCCCACATCCTTGAGATCATTGGCTATTATATGACGATGATTATGATGATGATGATGATGATAATTGTGGGTAAACGATAAATAATAATGAATTTAAAGTGATAATATATGAAAGTGTATGTGTTTGTGTGTGTGAACAAATGTATAATATGGGCAATCGGATCATATTTGATCATCATCATCATCATCATTTTATATGGCTGTTAAAATGTGTATATATGCAATAAATAGTAGAATTTGATTGAATGAGAAAAAAAACATAACGTTTTCAATGATAAAAAATGTGAAACGCAATGTTTATGGTTGGTGGATATAGATAGGGTGGAATAGATTTTGAAAAAAAAGCAAAAAATTTTCTAATATAAAATTCTGAAAAATTTTTCCTTGATATTTGATAATGCGTAAGGGGTTTTTTCTCATATTTACCTTTCTCTCTCTCTCTCTCTAGCTTTCTAGCTCTCTTTCTGGTTATTTTTTTTAAACGATTAATTAATTGTGTGTGTTGTTATTATTGTTGTTTTTGTTATTAATCTAAATGATGATGATGAATTCTGAATGAATGAATATTAATTTCTTTGGGGAAAATTTTTTTTTTATTTTTTTTATTTTTTTTTTTTTTTTGGGAATCAAATCGATACAAGGTTTTCTTTTTTTTTTCATTCTTTATATATCGTTTGTTGCTATATCAATCATTTCTTCTTCTTCTTCTTTTTTTTATTATCGCTATTGCAACTTTTTTGTTGTTGTCGTTGTTGTTGTTGTTGTTATCATGATTATTATAGTTTCAGTTTTCAGTTTTCAATTTTCATTTTATATATATATTGGTATTATTATATTATATTATATATATTGGTTTTAATTTTGTTAACAGAAAAAAAAGTTATAACTAACATGTGATATAGATTCATAGATAGAAAGATAATACACACACACACACACAAAATAAACAAAATGCAACAAGATTTCTTTCTTTTTTTTCTGGATTCAAGCAATTATGATGATGACAAATATTTTATTAAATTATTATTCGACCAATCATTATTTCTGGCCTGAAATTGGATATCAGCATACAGTATATATCATCAATTGGTAGATGATGATTTTAGACAAACAACAAATGGTATTTGATACAGTTTTGTTTCTATTTTAACTGCAACAAAAAAAAATTATCTTCATTTAGTTTAGCAACAACAACAAATGTAGCAGCAACAGCAGCAGCAGCAGCAGCATGGGTAAAAATTAAAAAAATTTTTTTTTGTTTTGTATTGAAAATCAAAATTAAATAAAAAAAGAGTAGTGGTGAAAGTGAAACCACACAGAATGATTATGATGATGATAATGAGAAGTAAAAAGATGCAATCTTTGGCATTCTTTTCGTTTATGCAAATATATACAATCTCTCTCTCTCTCTTTCTCTTTTTATCTAATGTGTGAAATACGCACCACTACGTGTTTATGGAAATAAATGATGATGATGATTTAAATTCAACAAGTTTCATAAGGTTTTTTTTCTGTGCAATGCAAGCAGAGAAAAAAAACGATTTAAAATTGAAAATGAAATGAAAAATTTTTGAAAAACAAATGTAAGTTGAATTTGTAATTTTGTTTTATTATATTATTATTATTATTTCATTTATTCAAATTATGATGATGATTTTTTTTCTCTGGTGATTTGATGAATATCATCAAATCAAATGGTATATAATAAAAGCAGAGAAAAAAAAATTAAATGAAATCACCAAAAATAACGAAATGAATGAAATAGACAACCAGAAAAAAAAATTCAAAATGAAAACGAACAAACAAACAAAAAAAATAGGATGTTGTTGATTTTTCATCAGAAAAACATTTTTGTTTTACGTCTTGTCGTTCATAAATGTGAACAAACAAAATTCACAATATGTTGTGTTTAATAGTTATATAAATATGGATAGATTGGTGGACAGTGAGAGAAATAAAATAAAATAAAAAAAACAAAAAATTGTCATCAAATTATCGTAACAAACGAATCGAAAAGAATTATAGCCAATTTCATGTGTGTGTCTCGGTGTGTGTGTGTGTGTATTGAAAAAAATCAAATAATGATGACAATTCAAATGAAAAACAAATTAAAAATCAGTCAAATTGTTTTGATCACGTTTAAATACCATATTTAGTATAATATATATCGTACACATAATATATTATTGATCGATTGATCGAAAAATAAACGATAAATTCAATTGTTCATTCAAACACTTTGTTCATCAACATCATCATCATGTTATCGTTATATATATAAAAAAAAGGCAAAGGATCTCTAGAGTCTTTAGAGTTTCGCCTCTTTTCATCGAAAATCTTTATGAGAAAAAAAAACAACAGAACAACAGATAATCTAACAGGAAAATAAAAAAAAAATTGCCAAGTTTATTTGTCAAACACATCGTTGCGTTGTCAAGAAATGTAGAACCCCTTTATGAGATATATAAATATCTAAAAGTCTGTATACACTATACTACTGTGTGTGTGTGTGTATATGTATAAACAAGATCCAAGAATAATCCAAGAAAAAAGGTTATTCTTCTTTGGTGAATGTGTGTGTGTTTGGTTGTTTTTATCAACAAAAATAAGCCTGTGTGTGTGTTTTTTTTCTTACATTACATTCGTTATTGATTGTGTTTGACCAAAAAAAGATTTCGAATTCGAATTCGATTCGATTTGGTCAAATTGTTTATTCGGTTATTTTTTCTCTCTCTCTCTCCCTTGGATTTATTTCAACATTATTTATTTGTCAATAATAATAATTAATTAATATAATACTAAAACTAACACAAAAAAATCACTTCTCCAAAATAGGGTTTCTTTTCACATAACTGAATCATAGAAAAAAAAACTTGAAAATCGCATTTACACTAAAGTAAGTTATTATATTATTCGAGAAAGAAAAAGCTAAGATGGTTTTGAAAAAAAACCTGAAAATAAGATTACCGGAATCATTCGATATAGATCAAAAATGGGTATATACACACACACACACATGTATATATATAGAGAGAGAGAGACATTTATAAAAACTATACTAAAAACAATCCGGTTTATTTATGTTTTCGCAACTTATATATCCGGTATACTTGTTGTTTTTGTTGTTTTTGTCTTATATTATTTTTAAAGAGTGATGACGGTAATATACGAATTGGAAGAAAAAGAAACATGAACAGCAACAACAACAACAACAACGAAAAAAAAAGTTAAACAAGATGATGATGACGATGATGATGATGATGGTAAAAGTTCGAATGAAGATTAAATTTTTTTTCCCTCTCGTTTTTTATCTCTCTTCCTTGATTGTTAGCTGGGAAAAAAAATTAACTGAAAAATTAAGCATTATTGAACCAAAAAAAAACAGTAGAACAACTGTAATAAGAAAAAATAAGCTGAAAAAATAGTGGTAGCAGTAGTAGCAGTAGTCTTAATTTTGGCTAAATAGAGATGCTACAATATGATCATGATGTTGTGATGTCAAAAATTTAGACATTTTTATTCTGGAAAGACAAAAAAAAATTCTTTCTTTTTTTTCACGCGCCAACAACAATAATGATCAACATCGATTCAATGATTTGATTGTGATGTGTTTGAATGGTAGAACAAAAAAAAATACTTTTTTTTCTGATTATCACACAATATGGAATTCAGCAAAAAAAAAACAGGAATGAAACTTGGAAAAAGGTATATTAATTATCAAGAGAGGGGCACCTTAAACACACACAGAGAGAGAGAGAGAGAGAGAGAGGAAAAAAAATTCGCGCCCACAAAAGAAAAATTCAAATTCAATTTCCTAAAATTTTTTTTTAATATCATCAGGAATGTTTAAATTTTGTCATTATACACACAAATTAATTAAAAAAAAAAATTGATGTCAAATATATATATCTCAATGGAAAGAGAAAAATTTTGTTGTTGTTGTTGTTGTTGTTGTTAAAACAAGAACCTAGGAGCAAAAAATACAAATGTATTCGTTAAATTTTTTTTTATGATATTTACCCAAAATATCGATCTCTATGATGATGTTAATGACAAAACTTGTGCGTATATATATCTCACTCTCTGTGTGTGTATATATATGTTTCTATCCTAATTATAATGAGTTCATAATGATTTTTTTTTCTTCTTCTTCTTCTTTTTACTTTAATCTTTCATCAATCGTCAATGTGTTTCAAACGACCAAACGATATTATTGTGTTGAAATATTAATAAAAATGAAACAAAAAAAAATTGATTGTTTATCTAACGTGATGATATTAATAAATGAAATGAATGATGATGTTAATTATATTTAGGTCATAATGTTTTTTCTTTTCTTTTTCATTCAAATTCAATTGTGATTAATGAATGTGAATTGAATGATTGTTGTTGGAAAAATGGATCAAATTGATAAGCAGAGAAAATAAAAAAAAAATAATTTATGTGAATAAACAGATATAATAGAGCACAAAAGAAGGCAAAAGTAAACCAGAATCAGCAAGAAAAAAAAGCTAGTGCATTATGAATATTATTACACTTTCTTTGATTTTTTCCCAAAATATTTTATGCACTTTTTTTTACTGATTATAAATCAAAAATCAATCAATATTCATTAATATAAGAATAAAGGATTAAATCAATCGATTGAAAATTGATATATCACATATATTGACAAAAACAGCAGCAACGGATCATACCATATATGATGATGATAATTTTTTTTTTTTTTTTTTTTGATTTCATTTCAAACAATTCTATAGGGCCAAATAATACTGTTGCTGTGATTATCTCAATCTCACTGCCATTATCCATCAACATCGTGATGATTGAATATCACAATATATTGGAAAGTAAAGCCAACAAAAAAAAAATAAAAAAAAAATTTTTTTAAATCGATCATCATGATAATCATCAAAGCAAAAATGATTAAAATTGAAATTGAGATGCCGATATTGGGATGAAAGTGATAAATCAAGGGGAAAAAAAAAGAAAAATAAAAAAAAATAAAACTACGTTTTTGCCATACCATACCATGACAATAATCAAATAGATCAATTTCAACCTATCAATCAATAAATTGATGATGATCAAATAATTTTCGCATCATCAATCAATGAATGAAAATTACGAAAAAAAAATGTCATACATCATATGACACAGTGATTGATTGGAGTTTATCTCTTCCTTGATTGTTAGCTGGGAAAAAAAAATTAACTGAAAAAATTAAGCATTATTGAACCAAAAAACAGTAGAACAACTGTAATAAGAAAAATAAGCTGAAAAATAGTGGTAGCAGTAGTAGCAGTAGTCTTAATTTTGGCTAAATAGAGATGCTACAATATGATCATGATGTTGTGATGTCAAAAATTTAGACATTTTTATTCTGGAAAGACAAAAAAAAATTCTTTCTTTTTTTTCACGCGCCAACAACAATAATGATCAACATCGATTCAATGATTTGATTGTGATGTGTTTGAATGGTAGAACAAAAAAAAATACTTTTTTTTCTGATTATCACACAATATGGAATTCAGCAAAAAAAAACAGGAATGAAACTTGGAAAAAGGTATATTAATTATCAAGAGAGGGGCACCTTAAACACACACAGAGAGAGAGAGAGAGAGAGAGAGAGAGAGAGGAAAAAAAATTCGCGCCCACAAAAGAAAAATTCAAATTCAATTTCCTAAAATTTTTTTTTAATATCATCAGGAATGTTTAAATTTTGTCATTATACACACAAATTAATTAAAAAAAAAAAATTGATGTCAAATATATATATCTCAATGGAAAGAGAAAAATTTTGTTGTTGTTGTTGTTGTTGTTGTTAAAACAAGAACCTAGGAGCAAAAAATACAAATGTATTCGTTAAATTTTTTTTTATGATATTTACCCAAAATATCGATCTCTATGATGATGTTAATGACAAAACTTGTGCGTATATATATCTCACTCTCTGTGTGTGTATATATATGTTTCTATCCTAATTATAATGAGTTCATAATGATTTTTTTTTCTTCTTCTTCTTCTTCTTCTTTTTACTTTAATCTTTCATCAATCGTCAATGTGTTTCAAACGACCAAACGATATTATTGTGTTGAAATATTAATAAAAATGAAACAAAAAAAAATTGATTGTTTATCTAACGTGATGATATTAATAAATGAAATGAATGATGATGTTAATTATATTTAGGTCATAATGTTTTTTTCTTTTCTTTTTCATTCAAATTCAATTGTGATTAATGAATGTGAATTGAATGATTGTTGTTGGAAAAATGGATCAAATTGATAAGCAGAGAAAATAAAAATAAAAATAATTTATGTGAATAAACAGATATAATAGAGCACAAAAGAAGGTAAAAGTAAACCAGAACCAGCAAAAAAAAAACTAGTGCGTTATGAATATTATTACACTTTCTTTGATTTTTTCCCAAAATATTTTATGCACTTTTTTTTACTGATTATAAATCAAAAATCAATCAATATTCATTAATATAAGAATAAAGGATTAAATCAATCGATTGAAAATTGATATATCACATATATTGACAAAAACAGCAGCAACGGATCATACCATATATGATGATGATAATTTTTTTTTTTTTGATTTCATTTCAAACAATTCTATAGGGCCAAATAATACTGTTGCTGTGATTATCTCAATCTCACTGCCATTATCCATCAACATCGTGATGATTGAATATCACAATATATTGGAAAGTAAAGCCAACAAAAAAATAAAAAAATAAAAAAAAAATTTTTTTAAATCGATCATCATGATAATCATCAAAGCAAAAATGATTAAAATTGAAATTGAGATGCCGATATTGGGATGAAAGTGATAAATCAAGGGGAAAAAAAAGAAAAATAAAAAAATAAAACTACGTTTTTTTGCCATACCATACCATGACAATAATCAAATAGATCAATTTCAACCTATCAATCAATAAATTGATGATGATCAAATAATTTTCGCATCATCAATCAATGAATGAAAATTACGAAAAAAAAAATGTCATACATCATATGACACAGTGATTGATTGGATTTATCATGGCCGAACAAACAAAAAAAAAGAATCATACTTTTTGTCCAATTTGTTGCATTGTTTTTTAACAGAAACCCGAAAAAAAATTTGCAATTTTAACGTGAAAATTATCAATAATTTTTTTTTCTCGGTATAAAATTGAAAAGACGACAACAACAACAACAACAACAACACAAAACACGTACGTACCATTCAAATGTTGATTTATCTGCAAATGGTGTATTATATATTTAATGATGACGTTTTGTTTATATCATCATCATCATCATCATCATAATCAAAATTTGAAAAATGTTGATGATTCCATCAGAAAAAAAAGCTGAATCAATATTCATTTATTCGATTGTTTGTTTATGTGTGTATGGTTGATTTATATACTTGTTGCAAATATTTCTAAAGTTTTAACGCTGATTCAAATGATAAAAAAGGGGATTTTTGGTGTGAAAACAAAAAAAAAAATTTTTCTTGTTCAATTCTTTATGGGTCAGAAAATAATGAATGAATTTAATTGACGAAAATCAAATGACGACGATTAATAATAATGATGATGATGATGATGATTGATCTGTTGTAGCAACATTGCCCGATTTCATTGATTGGCAATATATTTAAAATATATCTGCATTATAATTATCAAGATTGTAGATGTATGTGTGTGTGTGTGTGATACTTAAATTTTAATGACATTGAATGAAAATGTCGATGTCGATGATGATGATGATGATATGAGTAAAGTGATGATGATGATGATGATGATGCTGATGTTCCAGATGAAAATTATAATGATGATGATGAGAATGATGATATTATTATTACAGGATACAATAATTAGTTCAATAGGGACACTTGATTGAAACAAAATTTTAATTGAAAAACAAAAATTAAAGTGTAGTTTATAATTGATCCAGAAACGTGGCTAAATAATTTTTTTTTCTTCTTCTTCTTCTTCTATGCTAGAATTGTTGAATATTCATATATATTTTTTTTTCTTCTAATTAACGTATTTATCAAAAAAAAATTTTTTTTTTGCTTCATTCATTCTAATGTTTCAGATTCCAATTATTATTAATTTCAATGTCGAAGTATAGGATGATGATGATGATGATATTGCAATCATTCCATGATTTTTCTTTCTAACAAAAAAAACGATAAATTCATAATGATCACTGTTTTTTTTTCTTTTTTGCTCAGGTACAGGATTTATGACTGATGATTTTGTTGGTGATAATGATGATAATCATTTATATATATATATATATATATACAGGTGTATAGAGAAGAGAAAAAAAAACAAAGTGTCTTTAGACTTTAAAATCACATAAAAACACAAAAATTTGATAATATTAATGATGATGATGATGATGATAAAATAAAGTTGGAATTTTTTTTTTGTTTGTTTGTTTGTTTTGTTTTGTTTTAATTTCACTTTGAAAAATTATCGACAATAAATGAAAAAGAAAAAAAAATGATCCAAGCAAATGAATCAATGGATGAATGTTGATGATGATGATGATGAGGCAATCGATAGGATCCTGAGTAATGTTCAATTTTTTTTTTTTTTTTTGATTACATCCAGCCAAAACAGATCAGATTCTATTGAGATGATGAGAAAAAAAAATTCAAGAATTAAGAATAATTTAAACATATCATTGAAATAAATTGATTAAATTTCAATCAATGAGAATAATTAATGAAAAAAAAATGGAATCGAAAAAACCACAGGATGATACCTGAATATAAAAATGAAAATTTTTTTTCACCACTTTTCATGTATTTTCAATGAATAATATATCTGAATCAATAATAACAAATGATGATGTCGATTGTATTTTTTTATTATTATTAAATGGATAATAATATTTGACTAAACTGATTGATTTACTGATTGACTGACTGATTGATTGGCTGGCTGGCTGGCTGGCTTACTGACTCGATATACAACAACTATGAATAGATGATGTGATTGTATTGAAAAAAAATGGTTAAATCAAAAAAAAAAAAAAAATATGGTGAGAAGCAAATAAAGCAAATAGAAGAAGAAAAAAAAATTATCCATCCATTGGAATTCAATGGATTTTGTAGTCGTAGTGTTTGATCATCATCATCATCATCATCATCATCATCATCATCAGCATCATTGCATATGTATGGTATAGTCGGAATATACACTTTGATGATTATAATGATGATGATGATGATGATGATGATGATGGTAGTTGTAAATTGTGACGATGACAGCGGCAATAATGATGAGGATGTTGATGGTTCTGGTGTGTTGGTTGTGGTGTTGTTGGTGGTGGTGGTGGTGGTGGCAGCAACAAACATTCAAAAAAAAAAAAGAAACACAAAAATTTAGTACTTCACACATTTCATTTGTATTATTATAAAATTATAAATGAATGATGATGATGATTATTATTATTATTATGACGATTATATTATATTATATATTGTGTATATATGATGATCATCGTCATCATTATTGGAAACCATGTGATTGTCACATCATCATCATCATCATCATTATTATCATTATCGCATTAGAAAAAAAAATTTTTTTTTTCAAGACATCAAAGACACACACACACACACACACTGCATCAAATATGTGTTGTGTGTGTGTATGTGCAAAGATCACAACTTGTAGCTTGTACACATATCTATATCTATCTGTTATATGATGGATAAAATACATGCACACACACACACATATCATACAAAATCATTGAATTCAATGAATCTAATGCTATTCTTATGTGTTCAAACACTTACACATTATTGGGTTTTTTTTTCTTCTTCTTTTTCTTTTTCTTCTTCTGCTGCTGTTGCTGTAATATCATTTGTTTGTTGTCATGTCATGTCATATTTTGGACAAATGAATGAATGATTTAAAAAAAAAATTATATTGAATAAAAAAACGAAAGATTTCTGGTTTTTTTCTTAAAACAAAAACGGATTCTATTGAATCCTTTAATATGAATTTTTCTTTCGTTTTTTTTTGTTTGTTTCATTAATCAATTGAATGCTGGCTATTATCATTATGATGTTGTGGGGTCACACATATAGAACATGTCTGTCTGTTTCTGTTCATATATATTATATATATATTATATTATTGTTGAATGTGTTTATTTTTATATAATTTAATATATAACTCACCACATGGTTTGTTGTTGTTTTTTGTTGTTGTTGTCGTTTCATTTGGAATCAATTTTCAAATTTTTGTTTTTATTTCTTTTTTTCTCATTTCATTTCTATTCTATATACTATATATACTACTATTTCTATTCAATTTTCAAACAAAATAAAACAAAACAAAACAAAACAAAAAATGCTGTTGTACACACATTATATTAATATACACACATACACACATATAATACATGTGTGCCTGTATATTTATCGATGATGTATGCACAATTTGATGCAAAAAGAAAAAGAAAAAGAAAAAGAAAAAGAAGAAGAAGAAGAAGAAGAAGGCCACAACTAAATACCACAATACCGATACACATGTGTGTGTATATGATACGCACACTCTCACTGGATAATGTTTTATTTTTTTTTCTTCTTTCATTCAATTCATTCGATTTTTTTTTTTGATACAATCTCTCTATATTTTTTTTTTTATCCTTTTTCATTCTCCTACTATTCACAATATTATCCCTCACACACACACACACACACACACACACACATACACACAAAATTTCACTCATTACTCTTTTACATCTCTTTTTCTTTCTTTCTTGTAAAGTAAATTCTATCTATCTATCCATCCATCTATCTATCTGCATTTCTCAACGCTTTCTATGCGCACACACACACACACACACACCATGGATCATATTTAAAGTAGCCTCACTAACTCGTTCGTTCATTTATATATTCGCTTACTCCTTTTTTTTTGCTCCTCATTTTATCGCTCTATCCATTTATCTTATTATTATTTTTTTTTTGCTCAATCCAATGCTGAATCCATCTATCTATCTATCTATCTATCTATTTCACATTTAAATGTGTACTTTTTTTGCTTGCTTGCTTGCGTGTGTGTAAATAGATATTGTGATTGTACACAAAAATTGAAAAGAATAATAACAACTTTTTTAGAAACAGAAAAAAAAATCCAAAAAATTGATGCGGCAATTTTAACAAAGTAAAGTATTAAAAAAAAAATTTTGTTCCCTCAAATTTTGTTTCATCGTCATCATCATCATCAATTTTTTTTGGGGGTTCACATATATTTATCATTATAGCCTATAGCTTGATTGGCCAGTTATATGATGATGATGATGATGATGGAAGGATTTAATGCCTACACACACACACACACACACACGCATAATGCGAAAAAAAAGGTAAAAAAGACACCAACTAGTTGATGATGATGGCATGAGGTACCTCATATTTTTATTTCATTTTGCTAGGTTAATGAAAGAAAACTGATGATTTTTTTTAGCTTTTTATTATTATTAAATGAAACACACACACACACATTGATTTGGGTTCGTTCTGGATCTGCTGTGTTTACATGATCATCATCATGATGATGATGATGATGATGATATCGGATTTTCTTTTTTTTTTCATTTCATTTCTTTTCATCATTATTACTCCTTTTTTTCTCATCACTGTCTTTTATTTGCCGCGCGCGCTATATATTTTTTTTTTCGTGTTGCTGGTCCAAATTAATGTGTGATTTGAACGCTGTTCAGTTGATGTTGGTTGGTTTTTTTTCAATTCACTGATTATTTATTTTTTTTATTTTTTGGCTATCAAGCTACATTATAAAAATTTTTTTTTTGCCTGAAATTATTATTATTATCATCATCATCAGAAACAAACAGATAGATTTTAATTTGAACAGTAAATTCATCATTATCATCATTATGATTAGATTTGAATGAAGAAAGAGACAGAGAAAAGGGATAAAATAAAACGATAAGCAAAGAAAAAAAAAAGCTTAAAGGAATCATCGAAAGAGAGAAACATTAAGATTTAATGGATTTCTATCTATCTCTTTATTTCTATTGTCGATGATGTGCTTGATTGATTAATTTATGTATATTCAAACGAAACGAAATGAAATGAAAAAAAAATTCTATGGGAAACAAAACAAAAAAGCAAGTGCCCCACACACACACACACAAAAAACAACAACAACAAAGGCAACAATAGCAAAAAGGGTAATGAGAATAATTTACAATTTTTTTTTGTTGTTGTCGTTGTTGTTGTTGCAGCAATAATTTGATTTTGAATAATAAAAGTTATCCGGAGGCGTTAAAAGAATACAAGTAAAAAAAAAGTTGTCAGATACAATTTAGCTGTGAAAGAGGTGATGAAAAAAATTTTTTTTTTTTTTTTGAAACACCCACACAAATAGTTGAATAACAACAGCAACAACAGAAAAAAAAGAATATTCTCCAAGCAATTAATGAATGAATGAATAAATGACAATTAGTAGATTGAATAAATATAGAAAA